TGCGGACAGCCAATTGAATATGACGAGGAATGATCCTAGTCTTCTTATGATCACGCGCAGCGTTACCGGCGAGCTCGAGAATCTCAGCGACGAGGTACTCCAAGACTGCAGCTAAGTAAACTGGCGCCCCAGAACCTACGCGTTTGGCATAACGCCCCTTCTTGAGGTACCTCGCGATACGGCCAACAGGGAACTGTAGCCCGGCCTTGGCGGACCGAGACTTAGCTCCGCTGCCACTCTTCTTGCCAGCCTTACCGCGTCCACCTTTGCCTTTGCCAGACATGTTTTGTTTATAAGCGAGTGTGAGAATGTGGGAGATGAAATGACGATGCGATATCATCCAGTGGCGCCTCACGCTCATTTTGATGAAAAAAGTGAAAAGTAACCATCAGCTCCGCTGAAATCAATCGTAGACCGCGGACTTTACTAAAAAACGTGTGACATTTATAGACAGTTCGACAAGATGGCGTTGAGAAACGCCTTGTAATACTGTGCGGATGGCAACTCCCGGATCACAAGAGGCTTACGACCTCTCGCCGCGGATCCTCCTAGCTAGCTGCATATCCTTGGGCATGATGGTAACACGCTTAGCGTGAATTGCGCAAAGATTTGTGTCTTCGAAAAGACCCACGAGGTAAGCTTCCGCGGCCTCCTGTAAAGCCATAACTGCACTGCTCTGAAACCTCAAGTCAGTTTTGAAGTCCTGGGCAACCTCACGCACGAGCCTCTGGAAGGGCAATTTGCGGATGAGAAGATCCGTGCTCTTCTGATAACGTCTAATCTCACGCAGAGCGACGGTGCCCGGACGATACCTGTGAGGCTTCTTGATACCGCCAGTACTGGGAGTAGACTTGCGAGCCGCTTTGGAGGCGAGCTGCTTGCGAGGAGCCTTGCCACCCGTAGACTTCCTAGCGGTTTGCTTAGTTCTAGCCATTGAGTAGTATGCGAACGAAGATAAGAGTTTTGGCAAGAGGTAGAGTATTAGAGCAACCGCCAGGTAGAGGAGAAACTGATGAAAAAACTGGCAAATTGATGGTAAATTGAGTAAAAAAACGGATAAATTGAGAGTAAATTCGTAAGCCAGTAATTTAGACTTTTGCGTCGAAGATGCCAAACCGAGCCGAGAAGCTTGCTATCTAATGAGACTCGTTCAACGAAACCTACTCCTTCCAGCCACAAACTACTCATTCCCATCCTCTGCAGACACTCATTCTGAGTATCGCCGTCAGCTGCAGGAGTTAGCAATGTGCTCGGACGAACAATATTATTCGGTGCACTAACGGTACTGAGTAATACTTTGAGATTATCAGAGTATTACCCGGTACCGCAAGATGATTTGCCTTGCGCAGTCGAATGATGGTAGATTAGAGCACGCGGTGGTCGATAAACTCCTCCAGTA